TTGAGGTTGAAACTTAAAGAGGAAATGAAGGCCTCTTCCATGCTGTTGTCTCGATATTCATGGATGATTGATGAACTGCAGCTGGACACGTTTACTTCAAGTAGAGGCTTCTGAGACGATTGATGGATCATGGTTCCCTCCAAATTTATATTTTGACATGCTCTTATTCGGAGAATCTTAATTCTCCAATAAAGAAACCATTGATGGAAACTCTCTTCTCCAATAGAGTGACTCTTGGACCGAAAGAGTAGGAATAGTAAATGAGCTACCCAGAGAAATATGGGACCACGCATTTCCTTGTCAATTTAATTGCAAATTAAACAAAATGCTTCAATTTCCAGCTTGGTTTACAGAGTCCTTGACCTAACAAGAAATATTTTCAATATATGAAAATGTGATACAGAAGGTGTAGTAATAATGAGAACTAACCACCAATTAATAGCCACCAATTGAACCATCCAATAATTTTAGAACTTAAGCCTTTAATTCAAATCCTCAAACGGGAAGGATGGGATTGTATGGATGCGGGAGAACTACCTCTTATTGTGTATCTCATGCCCAATGAGTCGCACACTTATAAGAAACAAAAAATAAAAAACCTCAACAATAATTAATAATTTATTGTTAGAAAACACAAATGTGTGTCATATATACTAATTTTACTTAATTGGACTATTCTTCATTTATAAAAAAAGAAGTCTTCTAAATTTCTTGGCAGAAGAAACAAAACTTACAGCTTAAATAGGAGCAAAATAATTATTAATGTTATTAAGATTAAATTTAAACATTCATTTATCATAAGTTTCTTAAAAAAATTGTATTAAAATATATGTTATATATTTTTTTCTCCTCTCTTTTGGATTTTTTACCTCCCTTAACTGATATTAGTCAATCATTCCTTCTGTATCGTTTTGTTTGTCTCTATTTAAACTTTTACCGATATTTTTTGTAGGAAACAAGAACCAAGCATGATTAATGAAATGTAAGAATATCAAGGGTCCTTTTCAAGGAATCACATTATTTAGAACCAAAATTCCCTTAAAGGCTTTCACCTGGCAAACTAGCATACAAAGTCAACAAACTCAAGGCAAGAAATAGTGCCAACATGAAGCACACTGGTGCAAGTCATTGGTGATCAATTCTATAAGATATGATCACTGAAAATTGTAGCATCCTCATTACCAACAGTTAATAGGCACGGAAAAGAGTAGAGGATTAAGACAAGTATATAGGAGTTTAACTCGATATTCCTAAGTCATTTGAAGGAGAAAAGCTTAAATTGGATAACGGAACAGGAAGGGAAATATTGAAATGAAGTGAAAACAGCTTCACTTTAATTCAGTATTATGTAGGATTCATCCCTGTAGGGGTAAAGGTCGATCCTTAGTGTTAGAGGTGTGAAAGGTATTCTGTTTTGGAGAGTTAAGATTGACCCTTAAGTGGGGAAGGTTGATCCTTGGAGAAAGCGATAGCTGGACAAAGATTTTAATGGTGTAGAATCGACCCTTGAAGATGTGTAGGTCGATCCATGGCTGTTGGACACTTAGAAATTCTTCCAAGGTAAGGTAGGATCGACCCTTGGTGAGGTATAGGTCGACCCTTGGAGCATCCAATGGCTGGACAAGGCCTTTTGTGGGGTAGGATCAGCCCCTTGAAGAGGGAGGGCCGATCCTTGATGAACAAACACTTAGACAAATGTTTCAAGGGTGTAAGTGATGGGTGAGGGCTGATCATGCATCAAATACAAATAAGTGTAGTGGAAATAAATTTAAGATTAAATTACGCCTCACCTTCCTAGGATCTCTTTAATGTCGAATTGAGTACAAAATTAAATTACAAATAAAATATATATGTATGATCATATCAAATTTACCTTAAGAACAAAGGTTGATGAATCCTTTGTTAAACCATCGATTTGCCTTCGAAAAGCTAAACCACCTCAGCCTGGTTCTTACAAACCAAAGCTATCCAAGGAATCCTTGTGCAAACTTTAATGGTAATCCACACTAATGAATTAGAAAATCCTTTTGTAAAGATTGAGAGTGTTATTCCTTAACAATGTGCTAGCAAA